GTTTAGAAGAGAGCTAAAGGATGTTATAGAATTGTTAACTTAAGGATAATATAATTTAAGACAGAATATAATTATTGTATTGTAAACCCTGTGTGTAGCTCTGGGAAGTCGGGGGGAAGGGAGGGGGGTGGGGAAGGGTGGGGTATGAGGGAGGTGGGGAGTTATATTGTAAAAATTTTAAAAATTTTCAATAAAAAAACAAAAGATCCTTCTGTATCTTAAGGCTGCCCATCTTACGGTCATAAAAAACAAAAAATATATAAACTAAAAACATAAATAAATAATATAACATAGAACAGGGGTCTTCAAACTTGGTCCTTTTATGACTTGTGGACTTCAACTCCCAGAATTCCTCAGCCAGGCACGCTGGCTGAGGAATTATGGGAGTTGAACTCCACAAGTCATAAAAAGCCCAAGTTTGAAGACCCCCGACATAAAACATAAATAAATATTAGAATCCAGAACACCATGGCCCAATTAAAAGATGGGGAGGGTTGGAATAGGATGGAGGAGAGGTGGGATCCATTGTGAATTGTTCAACAACCTCCACTGTGATACTCCCCCGATTGGGGCCTCAAACTAACTGGCAGAGCCATGAGTCCCGTAAGGGAGATAGGGCGGTATATAAATTTAATAAATAATAAAAAAAAATAATGTATTATGTATTCAAATAAGAACTTGTAAATCACTTAAAGGTGATCAAAATTACAGAATTCAAAATATCACGTGGATAATAATAATAATAATAATAATAATAATAATAATAATAATAATAATAATAATAATAATAATAATAATAATAATAATCTAAACAATTGCACGACTGCACAATGTACCATAATAATTAATAAAATAAAAAAGCAAATTATAATAATGATTTATTTATTTATTTATTTATTCAATTTTTATCCCGCCCTTCTCCTTACGGACTCAGGGCAGCTGACAGCCTTATAAAACAGATACAACAATAAATACCCAATTTAAAACCTGATTAAAAAGAAATATTTACTATGGCCTATATAATTAAAATTTCTCTTAAAACCCCACTAAAAATTCCCCTAGGCCAATTAAAATTTAAATTTTAATTTAAAACCCCACTAAAAATTCCCCTAGGCCAATGATTATTAATAAGTGAATTGTAATAATAATTCAAACAGACAAATACCTGCCACATAACACCCTAGTCTTTACAATGGTTAATAAGACAAAAACTGGATAGTGTACTTTCCAGTGCCTGGAGAGAGCTGAACAGAAGGGAAAGAACTGAAGAAAATCACAAAATACGAAGACCTGCAAATAAAAGTAGAACAACAACAACAAACAAAAGCAGAACAACAAAACAACAAAAGCAACAGGAATAGACACCTTGGGTGCCATCCCAAAACAACTGGAGCACCAGTTCAACATCATTGGCATTGACGAAATTGCAAAAGGCAGCTTTATTTGGAACAGCTCACATCCTGTGACAATATCTTTATTAGCATTAAACAACAATGTCATCCATCATCTGTAGTGGCGGGATACAAATATGTGAACAACCGGTTCTCTGTGTAGATGCCACTTCCGGAAGTCTGTTCTGGGCCTGGGCAACAAAAAATTAGCTACCTGTTCTGCCGAAGTGGTGCGAACCAGCTGAATCCCACCACTGATCATCTGCCTATCCCAGATCCCTGAGAATGACTCAATAGATGGATAAAAATTCTAAATCTAGTCTAACATCTGGCTAACTGTACAACCAACCATAACAACAACAAAAACAACAGCAACAACAACAACAACAACAACAATAATAATAATCCATATTTTTAAAATGATCTTGGGGGAATTAATGACTAGGCAGTTATTAAATATATATATATAAATATATTAAATATATATATAAAATCTCTCTCATTCCCTACAGCTTCCCTTTACGGCCCAGTTCACAATCCTTTTGATAAGCCCCACCATCTGGTATCCTCTGGGTGTGCCGGATGTAGATGTGGTTGGATGTCTATGCTCCTTCTGGTGTTTTTTTTTTTTTTTTGACATTTTATCATGACTGTGTTTTAGAAACAAAATAAATGTAACCTAATAGATAATACTGGGGATGTGAAAGAAGAACCTCCGCTGGATCGAAGCAAAGGACCAGTTTAGCTCAGTTATGTTGTTTTCACATAATGGTCCTCTGGAAGAATCTCCCCTCTGAAATGGATGCTGGTGTTCCAACTCCTAGGACGGCCGCAGCTGTTCTGGCCACCCTCTTCCTACTTGTCCAGCTTAGTGATGCCAACAGTAAGAACTATCTGAATTTTGTTTGCCTTTTAATTTGGGAAAGATGCAGGAGGGGGGCGGGATCCATAAATTCAGATCTGTAAGAATTGGGGCTCCCATGAATTTATAAGTTTTGGAGTTAGAACTGCAGGCACCCAGAAAGCAATGTTGGATGGAGGTGTTGGCACAGAAGACTGAGACATGTTCTCAGAGTATGAAGATTGGCTTGACCCAACATCTCCAACTTAGTACCCTGATCCAAATGTTGAGGACTTCATCTAAGAACTGTAATATATTTTCTTAGGAGCTGATGGACTTCTGGTGGGCTGGGGGCATTTAAAGAGAAGCTGGATGATCATTTGTCAGGGACGTTATAGTAGTGTCTTCCTGCAATGGGTAGGAATCTGATCTAGGTAATCTCCAAGATCCATTGAAAAAAAATCTACATGGTGATTCTGTTCATCTGCAGGATGCTGGGAAGTGTTCTCAAGTATATCTAGAGGGCACCTGATTGGAGAGATTAACTGAGCCAGAAAGGATGGGAAGTAGTGAAATACCCTTAGAAGGTTTCAAATCAATTAACTTCTCCAAGAAGGGCTGGAAACACTTTCTTGAAGAGCCACTAGCTACCAGCCATTGTAGGCAATACAAATGAAAGCTTTTTGCTAGACTAAGTGTGATCCTGTAACTGTGAGTAACAGTGAGAAGGAACTTGGAGTCCTAGTGGACAACCACTTAAATATGAGCTAGTAGTGTGTTGCAGCTGCCAGAAAAACCAACACAGTCCGAGACTGCATTAACATAGGGATAGAATCAAGATCACATGAAGTGTTAGTACCACTTTATAATGCCTTGGTAAGACCACACTTATTGCATCCAGTTTTGGTTGCCATGACATAAAAAGATATTGAGACTCTAGAAAGAGTGCAGAGAAGAACAACAAAGATGATTGGGGGACTGGAGGTTAAAAATATGAAGAACAGTTGCAGGATTTGGGTATGTCTAATTTAATGAAAAGAAGGATTAGGGGTGACATGATAGCAGTGTTTCAATATCTAAGGGGGTGACACAAAGAAGAGGGGGTCCACCTATTCTCCAAAGGACTTGAAAGCAGGACACAAAGCAATGGATGGAAACTAATCAAGGAAAGAAGCAACTTAGAACTAAGGAGAAATTTCCTGACAGAACAATTAATCAATGGAATGACTTGCCTCCAGAAGTTGTGGATGCTCCATCACTGGAGGCTTTAAAGAAAAGAATGGACAACCATTTGTCTGAAATGGTATAGGGTCTCCTGCTTGAGCAGGGATTGCCCTAGAAGATCTCCAAGGTCCCTTCCAATTTTGTTACTCTGTTATTCTGATCCTGTCAGTGAGCCATACCTTGTCTACCTGTCTTTTTGCTGTTTAACCCCTTCTTAAGTTTGGGGACCTAATGATGTCTTTTCTTTTCATAGTTGTATATGTAGAGAAAGGCTCTTCCCCAGAGCTGCTCTGCCCATGTCCATCTTGTTCTGGTACTGAAGAAATGTCCTGGTACTGTGTCCAGCATGGCAAAACCACCGTACTCTTCCGCAAACTCTCCAATGGCCATATAAAGCGCTTCCCAGTTGCCTGGAGCCGGCTCCAGATGCTTCAGAACAACTCGCTTCGATTTCACCACGTGGAGGATGACGACACGGGGCGTTACTGGTGCGACATGAACCATTTTTATGATCTCTCGGTGGTGACAAGTAAGTGAGATAGCATTTAAAAGATAGGAAAAATCTTGATAACACCTTTTATGTCTGAGGTTCTTCTGAAACTAGTTAGGCCACATGTACAGGTAGTGCTCAACTTACAGCAGTCCATTTAGTGACTGTTCAAAGTTAAAACAGCACTGAAAAATGTGACTTATTATCGTTTTTCATAGTTACAACCGTTGCTGCATCCTTAGGGACATGTGATCCAAATTCGGAGGCTTGGCAACTGGTTCATACTTATGACCTTTGCTGTGTCCGGGGGTCACGTGATCCTCTTTTGCCACCTTCTGAAAAGCAAAGTCAATGGGGAAACCAGATTCACTTAACAACCAGGTTACTAACTTATCAACTGCAGAGATTCACTTAACAACTGTGGCAAGAAAAGTCATAAAATGGGGCAAAACTCCACTGTGGTTGCAAGTCGAGGACTACCTGTATGACAGAATAACAGAGTTGGAAGGGACCTTTTCTAATCCAACCCTCTGCTCAGGGTTTGGCAGATCTCCAAAAAGCGCTAGCCTTCAACATTATTTTCATGTCTAATAACGCCCTTAGATTCCTAAGGCAAAAGAGTAGTCGTAAGCTGAGGACTGCTTTATCTGTATCTAGTTACCCAGAAAAAAGGACCAAGAATCTGGAGTTAAGTGTGAATATCCCTGTAGGCTGAAGGGATGATAAAATGCAACATTTCCAACATAGTCTTGTGATAATTTGGTGTTTTGTGACTGGCACCTTCACTATGGCAGCTGTTTTATGAATGGGCAAGAGCTGTGGTGGCGCAGTGGTTAGAATGCAGTATTGCAGGCGACCTCTTAATTCCACTGACAGGAGTTCGATCCTGACCGGCTCAGGATTGACTCAGCCATCCTTCCGAGGTTGGTAAAATGAGGACCCAGATTGTTGAGAGCAATTTGCTGACTCCGTAAACTGCTTAGAGAGGGCTGTAAAGCACTATGAAGCAGTATATAAATCTAAGTACTATTGCTATCTATGGAAGACGTATGTTTTGACTTCCAGCCATACATTCTCAGAATATCAAAAGTGGAACAAAAGATTGGAGATTTCTCCTGAATCTGTGTATCTACAACCATAATATCTTGAAAACCCCCAATCTTGTCTGCTCTCGGAAGCTAAGCAGGGTCAGGCCTGGTTAATACTCAGATTGGAGACTGCCTGGGAATACTGCGTGTTGTAGGCTTTTAATGAGAGCCAGTTTGCTCTAGTGATTGAAGCACCTTGTGAGAAACCAGGAGACCGTGAGTTCTAGTCCTGCCGCCTTAGGCATGAAAGCCATCTGGGTGACCTTGGGGCAGTCATTCTTTCTCAGCCCTATCCACTTTACATGGATGTTGTGATGGGTAAAAATAGTAAGAGGAAGAAGTATTATGTTTGTTCGCTGACTTGAGTTATTTATAAAAATAACTCTATAAAAAAGGGAAAAAATGGACCCAGGAAATTACAGACCTATCAGCCTGACCTCAATAACGAATAAGCAAACACCTACAGGCAAACCAAGTCATTACTAAAAGCCAACACGAGTTTGTCAAAAACAGATCATGCCAGACAAACCTTATTGCATTCTTTGACCAAGTGACAAAATTAGTAGACCAGAGGAATGCCTGAGCATTACCTGCCTGAGCAGGGTGTTGGACTTGATGATCTCCATGGTCCCTTCCAACTTTATTATTATTATTATTATTATTATTATTATTATTATTATTATTATTATTATTATTATTATTATTATTATTATTAAGGCGGGTTAAAATACAAACAAACAAACTATCCAGTGCTGGTTCTACTCCAGCTGCAATTGTCTTCTGAGATTTCTTGTTGAACATTTCTCTTCCAGGCAGTCAGCAAAGGCTGGAGCCCTACCAGGCCGATAGCCTGTGCTACATCTTGAGCTGTTTTTTCCGATCCAAGGCATTCTACACAGATGTGATAACCTGGTGGGAAGGTGGAAAACAAATCCAGGATGTTGACCAGATGGGAAGACCCAGCATATTTAAGGGGAAAAGGGCCTCTCAGCTCCATATTTGCTTGAAAAAAGAGGCTTTGGAGAAAACCACTAAGAAGCACATCAAATGTCGCTTTGCCCGGAAGACCGAAATCAAGTTCAAGTTGATGGATAACCATCCTGATTTCTGTACTTGTAGTACTTTGATGCCTTCTGTGCAGGGTAGGTTTCTCCTCCTGAATACATGTAGTCCTCGACTTACAACTGTTCATTTAATGACTGCTTAGAGTTAAAACAGAACTGAAAAAAGAGACTTATAACCAGGGCTTTTTTTCTCGGAGAAAAGGTGGCGGAACTCAAACCTGGCCACGCCCTCATCAAACCCTAGGACCGCCCCTTTAGAGAACAGGAATGCAAGTAAAATTTGGGAGGGGCTATTTCCGGTGTGGGAGGGGCTATTTCCGGTGCGGCCGGCCCGGAAAAAGGTGCCGGAACGCCGTTCCGCCGCGTTCCGGC